TGAATCAATATTACTCTAAGAGGTACAGTTGAAGAAGGACAAAGAAAATCCAGGAAATCTCTCTCTAATCTTTAAATTACATACGAAAGCCATGATAGGAACCAAGATAGTATTCTTTGGTTTTGAAACATCCATTAACTAAGAAATTAATAACTCATTTTACTGAAGTTACATAACATAGGATTAATAATTGCAACTAACCAATTTAGAGGTAGAACTGGAAAGTTTCTAATGAGGATCTTGGAGGAATTTATCTAGTACACAATAAAAATTCCAAAACTCCTGAACAGTATATACCATAATTATTCCATGATAAATAAATTATACTGTTAGCTTAAACTACAGAAAATAACTAAATGATCAAAATGAAAATGATGTACCATGTATTCCAATGAACCATGAAAGATAACCTGGTATATGAAATGTAAGAAAAGAAGTTACTTTTGAGAAAAAAAAAGTTTAAGTTTGGAGAGTTTGGGTTTTGTTTTTTGTTTTGGAATAATTTTATAAGAGATACTTCAATAAACAATGTTGATAATCTTCAAATAAAAGTATGTATCAATAAAATACTAGTAATGATGGTCACATAGACTATTTTTATGGTCTAAAATTAGTGAATTATATACAGAATAGAAAGCCCCAGAATACAGTATTAAGTGGAAAATTTTTCATTATATATTTCTATTTTAATAAAATACAGCAAAATCCTTCTTAAACATGCATTTTTCCACCTAACAGTATCCATTTATTTAGTTAATATAAAATTTATTTAGAAACATCAAAATAAAGTTATGACCAATATACTTGTGGAATACAATTAAAATACCTCTTCACATTAAACTGTAGGGACCATCCTTGTTTCTCAGATGCCTAGCACAGTGCCTGACAGACAGTAGATGCTCAAAAGATGTTTAATGAATACCTAAGTACAATCTGTTTTGCACATACATTCAAAATCCAGACAAGTTTGCAAAGGTACATAAGTTGGACATAGGCTTTCTGGCTGACTTCATGGGGTCCCACTGATGACTAGGAGTAAATCTTCATATCCATAGAAAACTGGAAAGTTGATAAGTGTCTGGGTAAGGACCAAAAAAACAAAGTCAGGGAAACATGTCACCTAAGTAACAGTTGCTTTATAGAGCTGGTAAAAGTGGCCTAATCATTCTAGTAACCTATCGCACTAGTCTCTCAATGAAATGAAATTTAAGTGTATCTTGAATATTTGCTAGGATATTTTTAATAGGAATTTTTTGAAATCTCTCACTAAAAATAAATTACTTTTGTCAAATTGTATCCTGTACAGGATTAGAGGGAATATGTTTTTACTTTCTATGAGTACTATATTATTAACAGGATTTAATTTGGCTAATAGAAAAAGTGAAGCTACAGTAAAAATAAAGAAAAAAAATTCATAGTAATGAAGAAATTGTAGCAGGGAGGAGAGGAAAGGAAAAAGGAAGAAAGGAAAGGAACCCCACATATGGGAGTAAAGAAATTCAAATATGCCTAACTCTAATACCAATTATGGCAATTAATCAGTAGGGCCTACTGTGCACCGGACACTGTACCGTGAGGGATGTAAATCTTAAGATACAAATCTTTAGTCTTAAGTGGTTCACAAAGCAAGACTAGCAGGTAAATGTTTATAATACAATATGGGTCATTATTATATATATGTCTCTAATCCAAGCGTAAAAAGCATATTTACTGATTAATTAGAAGTGCAGAGAAAACATAAGCATCAAGGGAAACAAATAATTCTCAAAATAGTAACTATCCACAATGAGAGAAATCAGTACCTTTTAAATCAACAAATTATTGAATTATAAATAGACAAAATTTTGGCTTAAAGCTATTTACCTAAATATTCTTAGGATAACACGCCTCCACATAAAATCCTTAAGTGCTATAGACAAAATTGTGAATGACAGTTTCATTTCCAACAAAAGAAAATGAGGTCGTGTAGCACAGGAAATGTTAAGAGACCTAAGTTCTCTGGTCCATGCTCTGCCCACTTACAGGCCTTGGAACCTAGGTAAGTTCCACAAACTCTCTGAACTTCAGCAAAATGGAAAACGAAGAGTTGGATAAAGTGACCTCCAAGATGTCACTTAGATGAAAATTACAATCTTAAATTATGTCTTAATATTTAAAAAATAAGCTAGAATAAAAAAGGTTTTTTAAACATAAATCGTTATCCAACTCAGAGGAAGTCTAGAAATCTCAAATTATACAGGGTTAGCCAGGGAGTGGTGAGATAAAGGAATGTTTTCAAAAGAAAAGCAGACATATATTAAGTAAAGGTATTATACTCAAGACTGTAAATTTTCACTCAGCTGCCGACGGGGCAACCACCATCCAATTATCTGCACAATTTGCCTTATTTAAAATTGATTTCTTCACTAAGTTCTACTTTCTCCCTCTTATGTTAAGGTTGCTGAGGTATTAGAGTGAGGACAAGAAATCCTAGGTGGACCTGGAATATTAGTATTGATGTTGGGAGAAAAACTTGAACTTGACACAGATTTCTGCTGAAATGCACCAATTACACCTTAGAGAAAGGTAAGAAATTGTTCAAATTTATAACAGAAAGGAAGGAAATAAGGCCATATTGTTTATTGCTACAGAGCTTTTTTCCTGTGTCTAAATGTCTACTCTTGTACACATTAATGAAAATTTACAGAACAAGTTTCTACATTTGCAATGCTTTTCTGCCACTAAAATATAAGCTTATTATATTTTGGCTTTGCCATAAAAAAATAAAAATTAAAAGTATTATCCTGTTTTATAATATTTATGTCAAATATCCATCTAGATTTATTTTTCTTCAATCCTTTCTATTTGATCAAATTGCTGTTTTCATATTATCAGTCTGATCATAAAATTGCTGTTTTACAGAAGAATATTTTTTGCTGACATAAATTACGGGATCAGAGATACCAATGCAGTTACAAAAAAGGGTGTGTGTATGTGTGTGTGTGTGTGTGTGTGTGTGTGTGTGTGTGACAGAGAGAGAGAGAGAATATATGAATGTGTGCATCCATCTTCAAGGAAAGGATAAAGAAATGTATGTATGAAACAAAATAACACTTTCCAATGTAAGCTCTAGTAAAAGGCCTATATTGGAAACATACTTTCTACCATTTGTGAAATAAAATACAGCACTGAAATCGAAAGCCACAGTGATTTTTATGAAGACTGTTATTCTATAAACCTAAACCTGAATTTATCTTTCATTTATGTCTAAACTACAGTGAATATACTAACTACAACTTCATGATTTGACTCATGAAAATATATTTTTGAAATTTGTCTCCTTTCACATATAGTGAGCAATTTGGTTCAGTACCCCAAGAGATGAAAAACTCATCTCAATTTACAACAGTAAATAAATAATTCAGTTAAAATTGAAAGTGGTACCAATCCAGCAAACTATTGATGGAGAGGTTTGGCCTTCCATGAAGCCAGAACAACATAAAGTTTTCAATGGGGATTACTTGTTCAGACAAGTTACAAAGATAAGAAAAATATCCAGATTAATTACAAAATAGCTAATATTCTCATCTTGTGGAAAATATCAAGAACCTGTGTAAGGAGAGACAATACTAGTGGTATTGAAACTTTAAGCATTTTAAGCTTTGAACTTTATATGCTAATATATGAAACAAACATTTAACAAAAAAGGCTGTAATACAAGTCAAAACCTAACCAAAGGCCTCTATCAACTAAAAATTTGAAATCTCCCATGCAAGTCAGACACAACAAAAAAAAAAA